CCACTTGAACTGCCCTTCGAAAAATTCTGCCCATCGTCCAAGACGTCGATGGATGTTAGTGATTGGCATCCTATCATCCTCGCAGATTGTTTCACTCACACCAGACTTCTTGCTGCCAGTGACACAGATGAGTTGGAAGAGCTTCCGGTAATAACCAGATGCAGCTGCTGCTTCCAGCTCATTTGCATGCTCCGACCACCAGGCTTCTCGGTCCTTACGCAAGCTTTGCCCAATTTCCTTACGTAACATCCTTCGTTTATGGTCAAACTCACGGTCACCCGGAGTAGACCGACAGGCTTCAATGAGTTGTAAGGAGCATGAAGAAACCCAGTGCTTATAAGCGGGACGTTTCGCGAACCCAAAGGTGACTCAACTCACCATTTTCGTGGCGTCATGCAATTGCAACCAATGCTCATCTATACTTTTCGGTGGAATGGTAACTAACCTAGAAACTAGCTCGATTCGATACTTACTTGCAACAGAAGTTGCAACCAGCTTGCTAACATCAATCCGTTGGTGACGATCACTTCGTTGGCCACTGAAAAGTAAGGCAAGATTGGCGCAGACCAGACCATGATCAGAGTCCAGATAGGTACTCCAAAAGGAGCGGCAGTCCTGTACACAACCACGCCAGCGGTAACAAATCGCGATGTGATCAATCTGAGTCCAGACTTGGGATGCAGAGGGAGGATGCCAGGTGGCATATCGACGATGACTGTGCCGAAGGTTAGTGCTAGCCAGAAACAGGTTGTGGTCAGTGCACAGTTCCAGTAGACGGTCCCCGTTTTCTGACCTGCGACCAACGAGTCCCCATCGGCCACCTAAACAACTATCTTCTGTGCCTAGACGCCCGACCTGAACATTCAAGTCTCCGGCTAGTACTACAATATCAGCCGAACGCACTTTCTGGAGAAGAACAGTTAGCTGCTGGTAAAACTCATCCTTGATTGCATCTGGGCTGCAATCTGTCGGAGCATAGGCGGAGATGACGAAAAGACATCGTTTCTCACGCCGATTTCTTCTCACTTTGATGGAACTTTATAATCTAACAGCACATAACCGACTGTTAATGGGGATCCAATCGATTACTGCTGCCTCAGCTTTAGCGCTTAATGCCACACCAACGCCAGCAAGACCAAACGAAAGTACCACATGGTCCCCGGATAAACGCACGTAAAATAAGCTGATCTCATGCCCAACCCTCCTGCTTTGTCCGGGCTTGGGATCGGCAGTAGCTTCAGAGGGGCTCCAGGCGGAGTTAACATTATCAATAAGAAACGAAAACAATTTTTGCCTCACGTGGTAGAGTATAGTGTCATGTTCGAGGTGAATCTTTCATATGGAAGTGTCATAAATTTGATATATCAGTCAGTATTATTATTAATAATGATAATTGCTTTATTCAATATTACAGTTATGATACAATATCGAATTTTCAACACAAAGTATTTCAACAAGTATCCGTTGCTTACTTATTGATAGATCATGACGATAATTATTAAGTAATCGCCAATTAGATGTTAGCAGTTTGAGAATCAACATGTGAATAATGTACATTCATTTTGCTGTATATTGTCAGCAACCATAATGTTTCTGACTGTGCGCATTTCTAACTTCTATAGTGAAAGGTCGTGAAATCTTCACAAACGCAATTAAGTCGGTTGCGCAAGTAATTTGTATAATGATCGTTTAAAAAACAACAAGGAAACAGATAACGTATTGAAATATTGAGATGACAGGAACAGGTAGCCCAGACGTTGAAGTCGACCGCCTCTAAGTTGTAGTGTGGCGTCCAGTCACGTTTGGCTATGATCACCACTAGAAGAAGATTGCGTACTAGAACAGGCTAAACCTCAGAGTAAACCAGAAATCAGGTGATTGAAGGTTGTATCAAGATTTATTTGTTGGCGGTCTCGAGGAATGGAAAGAATACCGAGATCGTGCCAAATACAAGTGGAACGCAAGTAAAACAAGCTTTTGAAGCGACAGATGAAGAGCGAATTTGTAGTACTTCACCAGAGTCTTGAACACGGGTTTCGGACAGACAACAAACATCGATATTAAGACTTTCTAAAGACATAGTCAGCCCTATCTGTTGTCCGACCTGCATAAGTGTGAGAACATAGAAGACAGCCAGTTTGAATAGTGCACGTGGTTTCGGAAAAACTGCTTAAGTATTCGTATTTGATTGTAGTAATCAATTTTCAACCATTTAGTAACTCGAGAACGTTTAGATAGGAACGAATTTACACCACAGGCGAGCTGCTGGATTAGTCAAAAAATAAGGATACACAGAGTGGGAATAAAGGAGAGTGAATACGTGACGTAGTAGATAATAATAATAATAATAATAATAATAATAATAATAATAATAATAATAATAATAATAATAATAATAATAATAATAATAATAATAATAATGTGAATCGTTTGACTGTTAATCGAAGCAAGAATATTTTCCGCAAGTATCGTCATTTCATTCTGCTTGTGTGAGGGCTGTGATACTGCCCGGGTGCCCAAACCGAAGCAGGTGGTTTTCTTAGAGCGTCACAACCCGAGCCTTTGACCTAAAAGTATGATCCACAAGACGGTGGAGCATCGTAAGGAGATGCAGTCCCATGGTAGTCGGTGACCGAAAATTGGTTCGTACGCCATTTGTTGCCTCAGGATTTTGGAGCCCATATGCACCATTGATTTGGTTTGGGATCCGGTTAAAGCGCCGAACATTCTCTTTTGGTCCTCTCATTTTCATAAACAACACCCGCGCCATGAGAAAGCAGTGAATAACACTTCCCTGGCAAAGGCTGTGTACGCGTTGCCGTGTGAGATCATTTCGAGAGCGAGGGCGGGCCCACAACATTCTTGGCCATACCGGGGCAATTTAGTAGTATTACTATTTGTATTAGTATTACTATTATTAGCAACGAATGATTTGTGGAGAATATCCAACTTGTATTTCTCATGATCAACTGATTTTATGGTTAAACGATTGTCGAAAACCAGATGAAGGACGATCTTCAAAAAGCTGTGATAACAATTCATATCTAGTGATGTTTCACAAAACCAGATAAAATGTATTTAAGTGAGATCATGAACTAGTCAGTGTCAGACTACAATCGAAAACCTGGAAGCATTAGACAGCTGTCGCGTCCCAGAATGGGTCTCTTTAGAAGTCAGCATCCACAATCACGCACGCAAGTCTCGAGCCCAGGACCTTTGGTTTTGTGCGCGAACGCCTAAACTCTAAGATTGGTCACCTAATGATCTCAATTGGAAACTCGAAAATCTCCACTATCCTATACTGACAAAACATATTTATCATCAATGATAATGTATGATGATTGTACAAAAGCATAAATTAGTTGAAATAGGAGAAGGAAACCAATTTATATATTCAAATCGGCACACCAAATTATCATGGCAAGATAAAAATATGTGAAAAACCCATAGTAGCGGACTTAGTAAGAACATCAGTGGTAGCAGGAAACATTGAGCATAGAATGTAGTTAAAAAGGGAAGAATGAATTTGTAGGAGTAAAAAATCTTCATAGCTAAGGGAAGACAACGAATTAATATATCTCTACCATCGTGACGGATTCTGAATCATATTATCCAATGTCCTTGACCATTGATTATGATAATCGTACAAACACCAAGCAAACAGTCTACATCCACCATGTCAGATGGTTGGAGGAAGTCAATGAGAACATTTGTTCAACTTGTTTCATGTCAGTTAGCATTGAATGGCAAGATATGACATATTCATTCTTGAGGTAACCCAAGTTTCCCAGACGATTTTAATCCACATCACTCAATATCGCAGCCAGAAATATTACAATTCAGTTATCCAACATGTAACTGACCTCCACACTTATGTTAAGAACAAACTTTAAAATGTTTTAACCACAAATTTACGCTAAACAACAAATAATTAAGCAGAACAAAAAGGTTATATCTATACGTTAAGCATGATCAAAATAATATCCTGATTATGAAACTAATTGAAAATGTAGTGAAGTGCATTCAATAAACAACACAGATCACTCTTTGTCCTCTTTCTTAGCTTTCGTCGATAAAAAATATTGGTATAATGGATGAAGTTATAACAACTGTGATGAAATTTCAGCTAGTTACTAGTTAATCAGAAAGCGGCTTTTGTAAATGGATAAGTTATGGTAAAGAAAACAATAGCACTGGAAAGTGCAGACGAATTCTGTGCATTTGATAAATCTATTCAAATTATTATACTAGATATTCTGTTAATTTAAAAATCAAAGTTATATACATCCATCCTGGTGGATATAAATTATCTATCTTTTGAAATACTACAAATGACTCAAAAACTTTTAAATTGTTAATGATTAGGGTAAGATATTTATGGTTAGGACTGGCAGTTACGAGTTTGCATCAGATATAATACAAAACATTTCCTCGAAACAAATATGGACAGAATTCCACTCATCCAAGAGGCCATAAAATATAGTGCCAATAAGTGAATGTTTGTTACAGCATTAAAGTTTTAAGATTAGAATGTAAGGATAGTTTTGGTTTCCTCGTTATTTACAATATACAGAGGAAAAACTAATTATATAATACATTTAACACTGTGGCAAAAATTAATATTTCGTTATGAGTTTGAACGAATACAAAAGTATGTCTGATATTAGTGATACGTGATAAATGAATTTTGCACAAAAACTGACGAGTCATGTTCTCGATTTTGACTGGCTTTTCCCCATACTATATTTATAGTTTGAGTTATGTTAATGGGCGTAGACTACCTGGTTGAGATAAGAGTGACTAATGTGACTAATGGTTGGAGACATTGTTAACATGGCTCAGAATCAGTGGAGACAGGGATGGGATTTATCTTGATAATTTCATCGTGTTGCGTTCATATGATCTGGTGAGCTAAGTTCTACGTTGCTTGTGATAATCTTTCGCAACAAATATGATTTGAATGAATAAAACGAATGAAAGTTAAAAATCAAATAACTCACTCATATTTGTGGTAGATTTAGTCAAACCTATATCTTTTATCCGTAATATAAATGTAACCGAATTGCCTTTGTTCAGTAGACGATCATGATTATTTTCACGATGACCACTTTCACCGTAGCTGACAAAAGAATCATCGTCATCATTAATTAAATATTTAGTTGCTGCAATTTCGGGCGCCGGTAAATAGAACTGATACAGTAAATGATTTAATTTGGGATTACACATTGTCTCAGCTAAGTGACTTCTCCATTCTCAATCACTTTTTATTATTTCATTATGATCTAAGTTGATTAAATAACCACCAATCTGTTCAGGATCCACATGATTTCCATTAGATATTCGTGTTGGAAGAGCTATTTGGAAAAAGATACAACATTTGTAAAATGGGAATTTAATGATAATAATAAAACCAAGTCTGACAGTCAACCAGTAACAGTGAATTTAAAGCCTGGTACAAACGCTCGTTGGCCCTAGTTACCATATCACATTGGCAAATCGAGACGAATAGCAAAGGAGTGGAAATAACTTTAGTAGTAATGATAATGAAAATACAAAAAAACACTGAAACCATGGTACGAAAAGGCAGAATGAATGGCTAATGTACGACGGAATAATGAAACTCCAGATTTAGAGGAGGACAGTGTGAATATATATATAAGCCAATAACTTGGTGGACTGATACCATATTTTAGTTTGGGTACCCCTAACTTTCATGCAAGTTATTCCTAAACGAGCTAAGACTTTCCACCAAGATAAATGAACGTTAGGCACACGTAAAAAATAGCTGAAGATATTAAATATAGTAATAGTGAGATTACGTAAACTGATAGAAATAAAACTCATAGTTCAAATAATAAATGAATTCCGAGCTCAAACATCTCAGTAGTAACATTTCAAACTATTATAATCAATAACGCAGATTTCAATCTATCAGAAAGTATCAGTTCTATCAAAATTGCAAGTATGTTCTGATAACAAGTACTAACCAGAACACAAACTAGTTCAAGAAGAGTCCTTTTTTGATGACTAATTTCAAATACTTATTATGAAGAATCAATGTTAAACTTATAATGTTAATATCAGAAGGCGTTTTGTGGAGATTGTAGTAATTTCAACAGTTGAGATCATGAATCAATTGAAGCTAGACCACCATGGAAAACCTGGAAGCACTGGACGGCCGTTTCGTTCTATTGTGGGATTCCTCAGTAGTACGCATCTACGCCCTCGCCTCGTAGGACTCGAACCCAAGAACTATCACTCTTGCACCAGGCGCGTAACCAACTAGACCACCGAGCCGACATCCAACGGTGTTAATGTCTAACTTCAACTAATCCACGAAATTGAGCGACACATTCATCATTGTCATCAGTGAGTTACTATCTCACAAGTGACTCGGTTGAGCTCCACTGGTCACTGGTTTTTACTAGAACTCCAGGAATATGTCTTGAAGCCAGTCACTAGTGAGCATATGTTGATTACTGTCAGAAGGGGTTTTTGTGGAGACTGTAGTAATTTCAACGACTGTCCAGTGCTTCCAGGTTTTCCATGGTGGTCTAGCTTCAATTGACTCATGGTCTCAATTGTTATAATGTTAAAATTATAGAATAAGAAGCAACGAATTCAAAACAATCGCTATCATTTATTACATGTGAATGACTTCTCTTCATATAAAGTGTAATAAAACCACATGATAATGATTGAGAATAATTGGCACAGCTATTTAGAAACTACAGTTTTAATTAATATTCTATACAATTTTTTTTAAAGAAAACTATTTATAAACGATGTGCATTGCGAGATGTGACATTCGTTTATGAAAATAAATTTTTGTTCATGACAGTCTATGACGTTACATTAATGTTAATAAATAAGTTTGATGGTACAGTTGTAAACAAGAATGTTCTGCAATTTTTTTTATTCCAATGGTAATGAATGCTGAAAAAGCTGGAATCTAATGCACAGACTACTCACTACTATCAAGATAAATCACTTTAGTCTGTTCAATAAACAAACGGAACGAAATGTTGATACGCTTACTGAAATCGTTCTGAACTTCCAATGAAGTTCAAACATGTTGATTATTAGATAGTTACTAACCAAATGCACTGGAAGGTTTACCCATGATATTGTGAATAGATTGAAGTCAAATATACAAACCACTAGATGTGTCAGCCCCAAATGCCCTGGTACGGCAGAGAGTGAGGAGAGTCCACTCTCCCTCTCAAAATGCTCTCACATGGCCACGCCTATAAAGCCTCTACCAGGGAAGTGTTACTCATTGCTTTCTCATGGCGCGGGTGTTGTTTATGAAAATGAGAGGACGAAAAGAGAATGTTCGGCGCTTTAACCGGATCCCAAACCAAATCAATGGTGCACATGGGCTCCAGTATCCTGAGAGAACAAACGGCGTACGAACCAATTTTCGGTCACCGACTACCATGGGACTGCATCTCCTTACGATGCTCCACCGTCTTGTGTATCATACCTTTGGGTCAAAGGCTCGGGGTGTGGCCCTCTAAGAAAACCACCTGCTTCGGTTTGGGCACCCGGGCAGTATCACAGCCGTCACACAAATCAAATGAGATTTGTGTGGCGCATACATATCTGGTGCCCCCCTTGTACCAATACTTATGTGTTCAATTAAAAAAATAAAAAATCATATAAAGGTTTGGCATTCGCGACCAAAACTGAAGGTCCTGAGTTTGATAACTTGTGGTAAGATTGGGAATTTCCACTGCTAGGAAGTCCCACACTAAGACGAAACAACTGTCCAGTATCTCTCGGTTTTCATTTGTCGGTTAATTAAGATCTTCTCATGATGTCAACCATGATTGGCATCCATCCTTAGTTTATATCTAAAACGTTTCACTCCGTGAAATCAATGAATAGTTTGTTTTCTTTTGAATTCAGCTATCAAAAAATATTAAATTTAATTTAGACCAATATATTTAGTTAACATATTCCGAATTGGCAATTATTATCGTAATCAAAATGACATAGAGACGTTCGTGTTTCAGTGTACTATGAGCATAATTTGATGAACAGAAATTTTACTTAAAAAACAAGTCCACTATTCTACTGACAATCTATAACCAAATTCACAATTAAATTCTCAATAATGAACAAGTGAACTAATTTATCAAGTACACATTTATGTACTGAACTCTGAGCTACAATAATTTAATAGGATAAGGTTTGTGATACTACTTAGTGGTCTTTTCTAAAATTATTTAAATATAGATGAAGTTTGAGGATGTATTTATATTATTCTATTCTTAGTGAATAAGAGCGAAAGTTTTCAATTACTACAAACATCATGAGTCAATGATTTAATAAATTCCTTTTATTTGTATTGTAAAGCTACCTCTATAGTTAACTATATAAATATAGTGTTTATGACAAAACTATGAAACGTGCATTTTCAAGTGGATCTTAGTTGATATACATCTCTATACTATCGATGTTATTTCCTCAATAATCATACACAGTCCTGTAGTTGGAAAAGAGAATGTTTTAAATAATCATGGGCAATTGGATTAGCTTTTGAAAACGTACAATAGTTACCATATGATTACAACTAAAGTGATACATCACATGAAGAATATTGAGTTTTAACAAACTAGTTTACGGAAATGAAATATCTAAAACAAATCAAACTCAAAATCTTTTTTGTGAATGAACAAATTTGTTGTAATAAATCTCTTTTTACTAATGTGGAATTATTTATTGGAGAAGCTGATTAATGATAGCAACAATAGATAATCAACCACTTGATGGTAGATTTGACCAAAAACTCTAAATACATTTTCTAACGATCAATTATTTTATTTGGGTATTACATCAAAAAAGGTAAATAGCTCAGTACATAAACATATGTCAATAAGTTGAGGATATATATAATACAAAAGCATTATTAGATAATTACTGTTAGTGACCAGTTAATAATCCATGAATATATAAATGTTTCAGAAGGAGTTTTGTGGATATTATAGCAATTTTAATGGTTGAAATCATCAGTCAATTGAAGCTAGACCACCATGGAAAACCTGAAAGCACTATACGACCGTTTCGTCCTATTGTGCAACTCCTCAGCAGCGTGCATTCAACCATTTAAATAAAGTTATTTTACAGTTATGAAGGGATACAACAAGCAAACTATTACAAACTATTTATCTCTCTGAGCAACTAAACTAATGAAAATTTAAGGTGTCCCAATAAATATATGTACTGTAAAATGTAAACAAATCATTAATATTTAACGTCACATATCTCAAATATTCAGATTTTTGTTCACAAACGTATCATAAATCAATACATACAGTGAATAAAATAACTTAATTTAAAGAAAGAAATGTGATTTTCAAAAATTGGTTATTTTTGCAACATAAATATATCACACCATATTGGTTGAGGCTAAAACACTGCTTAGTTGAAGAAATAAAAAGACAGATGCATATAAATATAAGTAGTTAGGAATAAGTGATTGTAGCTAAGCCATGCTGAATCCACGTAAATCAGTACAAACCAAGGTTAATTCAAATAATCATGACAAATTTTCTCTTTATCCCCTCCAGTTCGTTCATGATTATTCCATGGGAGATGACATTGCTTGGTTGGAGACCTAGTGTAACCAAGTATAAGTACAACATCAGATAATTAAACGAATCTCGGTTAACAAAAAGTCGACAGAACCGAGATCTAGTATACTTGCTAGTATTAATTACATAAACATTGGTGCTCGGAGTCAGTTCGTCAGTAACAACGTAGAACTTTGTACGTACGTACATCAAATCGAGTTGCCACACCACATTAGCACAAAGATGCAGTTGTCGACTCAAATCCCATAGTGGAAACATTAGGTCTTGAAGATGTTATTCAAGGAGTACAATACAGTGAAATAAATTTGAAAAGAAAATAAAGGTCATGAAGAATCCAGAAGACTAGAATTTGGGAGAACACAAAGAATGGATGCATCTCCGCCATTGCAAACGATTTTGAGCCATGTCATTCAGGGTCTCTAACCATCGGTTGCTATCATCTCGCGGTCCCCAACCAGGTAGTCTACACTTACCAACACGACTCAGTCCACTTGTTAGTGACTTCATGGACTTGTGCCATGTTTTGGTTCGGCTGCCACTAGCTTTCTCCCAATCTACTCCTATACCATTGAACATCGCAAGTCGAAGCAGTCAGTAGTTGGGCATACGTAACACGTGTCCCGTACATCTCAACTGATGAAGTTTCACTACTTCATCAATTGACTTACCATCCTTATCCAGTTTCCGTTTCCTAATAACTGCGTTACGTACTCGATGGTCCCAGGATATACGAGAAATGTTTCGAAGACATCTATGGTCAAATACTAGTAACCTACGAATATCCTCTACTCTTACCGGCTATGTTCCACTGCCATAAATTAGGACGGAAAGAATCACTGCGCAGTAAGCACGTCCTTTGGTTGATAGACGGATATCACGCCTACGCCATAAATGACGCAAGTTAGCAAAACCTAGTCGAGCCTTCTGATTGGTGCTCGGAGGCTGGTTACAACCCATATTTTTGCAAATGCAATTACAATACTTTCAAATTGCTGGTGTGCAAAGACGGTCGCTTTTAAATTGTCATTTACAGACTGCATTGCATGAGATCCAAAATTCTGAAAGCTTCATTTATTCATTTTAAAAGTCTTTATAAGTAAACAACTTAATTGTTATCCATGGGATAGATGAATTATGGCTAGCAGTAAAATATCAGCAAAGACAGACCGAATTTCAGAACAAGGATATTAACAATGTGATAACAAAACACCTTTTAATTATAACGACCACAGTCACTGGTCTTGCTGATTGACATTATGTCAGTTCCCTGACCCAGAGGATTACTTATATTTTTTGTCTATGTATATGCACAACGTAAGATTGCAGTTTCACATTTAAACGACGGACAACTTCTGAAAACGAAGTTTCGTGAACGTTATTGTAGTTTAGTAACGTTTTAGCACATAAACAAATATCATCAGAAGCTATTTAGGTGTACAAAACATAAATATTTATTTGTTTGCTCCAATCTAAACGAATCCATACAAACGTTTAGTATATTAAAGATTCCCATTGTGAAAACTAGAACAACACATATAAGCAAACAATTGTTTCCAATTAGATCGTCATCAGGATTTACTCTAATATACATGAATATTTATACGAAAATGTAAACCAATCAAGGCAATATGAGTGAATAATCACAATGAAATAGAATAAGTCTCTACACATAATAGGTAAAAGTACAAGTTGATAGTAGGAAGAAAGGTGAACTGATAATAGTAAGAATGATAAAATACAATAACAAAAGTCTTATCAATAGTTAAATGTTGGAAATAGAAGGTTGAACATGGGTAAATAGACTAGGGATAGTAATCACAAAACATCAAAATCATTACGTAATAAGATGTGTGTAAATAATTAGATAGTGAAGAATACAAAGAGGCGGAAAATTACAAACAAATAATGGATAAGGAAATAAGGTTAATGATAACGAGTTGACCTCTTCTATGTGCATTCATAAATTCAGCTGCTCCTGTGGAGATAGCTATATAGGGCGTACTACCAGGCAACTTAACCAACGAATGAGTAAACATCTACCAACTTGGTACATAAAGGGCCAGATAAAATCTATTCGCAGTTCTATCTTGTCACATCTCGTTGATAGCGGTCATGCTGTAGATAAATCATCTATCGTATACCTCCATCATTTCCCGACGGAGTTCGTTCCCGCCTCCTACATATGGCTGAAGCCATTGAAATTCGTACATATAACTCCAATTCATGTGTACAGAAGAAATACGTAACCCTTCTATCCCTCCCATGGCCAGTTATAACTAACGATATTTTTTAAATTTTATTATTGTCATTATTTATTTTATTCTATTTCGTTATCATTAACCTTATTTCCTTATCCATTATTTGTTTGTAATTTTCCGCCTCTTTGTATTCTTCACTATCTAATTATTTACACACATCTTATTACGTAATGATTTTGATGTTTTGTGATTACTATCCCTAGTCTATTTACCCATGTTCAACCTTCTATTTCCAACATTTAACTATTGATAAGACTTTTGTTATTGTATTTTATCATTCTTACTATTATCAGTTCACCTTTCTTCCTACTATCAACTTGTACTTTTACCTATTATGTGTAGAGACTTATTCTATTTCATTGTGATTATTCACTCATATTGCCTTGATTAGTTTACATTTTCGTATAAATATTCATGTATATTAGAGTAAATCCTGATGACGATCTAATTGGAAACAATTGTTCGCTTATATGTGTTGTTCCAAACGTTTAGTACACAAAAATAAATTTTCTACAAAACGGACACTAGCGAATTCAAGTTCTCCAAGTTTGATTTATACAGGTCCTTACGCTGTTCAACTTTAAAGTTAACCACGTTTTAAAGAGGAAATATCCAGTGCTTAAACACTGTTAATAAGCAAATGTCCGGCGCTTTAACCGGGTTGATGGATATAGATCAATCTAGAGAAGTTGAAAAACTCTGATTCCAAGTCGATGGTGCACATGGGCTCTAGAAACCTGAGGGAACAAAGGGCGTATGAACATATTGTTGGCCACCGGCTATCATGTGACTGCATCTCATAATGTTAATCCATTGTCTTGTGGGTTAGACCTGTAAGTCAAAGGCGCGAAAAGTGGCCCGCTTAGAAAGCCATCTGTTTCGGTTTGGGTGCTCGATCGGTATTCTAGTCCTCAAAATAATAAGATGATCTGTGTAGCACATATTTACTTGATGCCTTCTTGTACCAATGTTTATGTGTTTAACTAAATAAAAATCGTCACTTTTCAGCGAACTTCACCAATGGACCAAATCATATCATAGATATCAATATTCTGAGTTATACCCTGGAAACAAGATGAAACTTTACCATTGAGACAGTTAATTATTATTGATTATTGCTGTTAGTTCTAGTAATTCACAACTACTGGTGGCTACCACACAAGTTCTGGACTTGTTTTCATTTCAAATGGTTGGGGAAAAAACTTTATATCAAGCTCTCAGTTCAAGAAATTTAGTTTTAACGGCGAATTAAAACGTTCCTTCTGATGACAATTTTATTAAAAAACATGGTGTGATCGTAGAAATAGAAAACTTGCTAAAGACTTATCTGCAAACATTACGAAAGGAATTGCAATACCTACAGAACAGAATAATTTACAAAAACCACTTGAATATGAACGAAATAACCTGTTTACACAGAGATGTTTATAATCACATGTTACGAAGTGGTGCTAGGTAACAAGTTGGAAATAATGGCCATAGATACAAAAACCCAAGCAAGTTCTTTATATGTCTCACAGTAACTGAAGAAAGCAAAAAGACTAGGAAAAGATTAATGGGTGAGACTATAATTTATGGAAGACCTTCGAGAGACGCTGAATGGACCTTGAGAGTGGACACCTACTGACTAGAACTAAATGAGGGTTATGAAGCAGTTAGAATTCTCATTTACAGTTGATGATTAGGGTTAGAAATTAGATTTAGGGTTTTCATCACGAACCGACATCAGTTATAATGCCAAAACTCTATTTAGCGAAATGTATGGATGAATTTCAGGCCCAAACTCGCAACTCGTTATTTTATATTTGATTGGTTCGTCCATAAATTATAGTTTCGTCGATTAATGGATTACAAATCTGGCAAGACTATAATTTATGGACAAAGCAATTAGATACAAGATAATCAGTCACGAATTTGGGCGCGGAACTCATTCATACATTTGGTTAAATGGAGTTTGGGCATTATAGCTGATGTCAGTTCGTGATGAAAACCCTTAATCTAATTTTAAACCCTAACCATCGACTGTAAATGAGAATTCTAACTGCTTTATAACTCTTATTTAGCCTTAATTAGTTGATCACTCTCAAGGTCACTCCAGCGTCTCTAAAAAGTCGTCCGTAACTTAGTCTCACCAAAAATTTTACCAACTCATTTGGGCTTCTAACTACGGCTCCTACAACCTTCTAGCCAAATGAATTGGTCCTTTATATCCGTCATGTTCATGATAAAGACCAGTAACTGCATCCATCTATCATAGTTTAAATAATGCACGAATTTCGAAAAAAATAACATGCATAGAATATGATGTGAATGAGTCCAGGTTTACTAATAAAACTAATTGTAAGCAGAAAATCAGAGGACCAACAAGAAGGATATAAAGTATTCTAGCTATAGACGATACTGCTTAAACCACGTTTTCGTTGATCATATAGGCAGATACCCGTATTACCACATAAAAATCCAAAAAAGATTGGTTGCAAGTGTTAGAAACAACTGAACACATCACCAAACTTACTTGTTGAAATACAGTCATACTCTACGAACAAAGTTGGCTCAGCTGCATTGTCGATTATGAAAGAACATTCCCTCGCCAACAAATCAGCAGACAAGTCAGATGAATAATGAACGGAATTTTTACATACAGAATGACCAGAACATCTTCTAGATATATTGGCAGTCACATCGACCCAACAATCTCGAGAATTGTGTGTACGACACCGATCGGTTGAGTTTGATATAAGTAGAATCTCACGAAAATAACCAAAGTGAGCTTCATGAATAATTATTGTTTTTTCGGAGCCACAATGTATATGCAGAGACTCGTTATAGCATGACAATTCCCAATCTAAAATTTCGCAGTGATATAACTGTAGAAATGGAGAATTACCAGCTGAAGCTTCAAAAATGCAGGTGAAGATCCATACTTGGTATGTAAAGAGAATACCAAGAAGCATACTCCATATCTTCAGAGTAGCTTCCAAACGTGCATTTTGAAATTGTGTCAACACATTAACTTCATGCATAAATATTCAAGCTGCAGTGGACAAACAAACGACCTTAAGGTAGTTCTCTACTATATCAAAGGTAGTGTCTCTATCCTGAATTCATCTGCTCAAAATATTCTGTCTGGAAGATATCTTCAAAACGAGTGATTCAATGCATCTAGTTGAAATGGTTAGTTAATAAAGTTTCAGATATTTCATTGTGTTGAGAAGTGTGAACCAATCACAAAATGCATAAAATAAGGAGTCTCTTGGAGGTTAAACTTTGACGTTTATTCTGGAAAATTCTCGATTCCATTTCCTACTCAGAGTGTTCAACAGAAAATTGTAGTTATATTCACTACCTTATAAGTAGTTGTAGCGGTAAATAAATCTTCAAGATCAGTAGCTGTGTAGGTCTTCGATAATTGATGCTGACCACGTGAGCTTTAGTGGACTCACCTAGCTGAAGACGCTCAGTCACGCATCCGCATCAGATAACGAGTGAGAACGCCATGAGCAACTTCTCCTGCAACCGCTAGCCATTTTAGATTAGTCGCTTCTCGATTTATTGATAACATATCGAATATATCTCAGCAACTCTCCGTTTCTGACTTTGGATTTTACTGAATGTGGACGGTTCAATTAAAAAGGGTGTCACTGGTTAAAGTGTTGTCATCTTCATGGTCATATTTTTGTTTTGTGATTTTTGTAGCAATTAGGTATTGCCTGTAGGTGGGCTTGCTTCATGTGACATGTAAATATTGAGTTAGAATTGTTATGACTATAATTTAGTTTGACGATTAGATACATAATTCTACCCGGTTGATAACATCCTTCTTGTTCCTCTTCTGAGAACCAGTGACGGAATAGGTTGATCTCAGCGTTTTCTAATTCCGTTGAAATATTAACTGCCACTCATTAATGACAGAAATTATGTAACATTCGAGCATCCCACATACTTGACTAAACCACTTCAAGCTCGAGCTTGAAAACGAAATTTCAAATTCAATTTATACACAATAGTGAATTTGAATGCGCAAATCAGTATGACTAATCTTTTTCAATTATTGTGCCATTGAATGTTTTTATCGCTTCTTGTACCACTATGATATGTCAAAATCATAATATTCAAGTTTGAACTCCTTCAGTTCCTATTGTTGAATCTTGTTTGCGTGTCACCTGATTCATTCATTTTATTACAGTATCATTATTTCCATGGAATAGGTTCCTTTTTTCACCACTTTTCAACACTGACCTTAATAATAGGACGGTGTTTTAATATACGAAGTAGGAAACCAGGTATGAATCATTCAAAAATGTGGTATTGCTAGTTAGATCGATTAAAACGTTGATTCGAGCACCAGCACTCACAGCTTAAGTAAAGGAGAGTACCAAAAGTTACTCGATACCACAACCCAAAAGCTAATTAGTTTATTCTGTCATCACTCATCTTACGATTAAATACGTGGACGTAGTAAGTTAGTGTTACTATGGTTTCCTTTAGTGTTATCTGTTCGCACTTGATTGATCTTTAGCCACCAATACGAGTAGCGACATAAATTTGCGAAAAAAAAAAGACTCAGGTTTATCAGAGCTCACTCACCTGAGTGGCGACAACCCATGGACCATCGAAATCAGATGAGTACGAAAATGTTCTATAATAGCAACGACAAACTGCACGTAAAAACTATAGAAAAAATACTGAATGACCACCATTAAAATAATGTCTCCCCACATAAATTGACTGAAGTCTATGACTGAGACAAATCAGAATGATAATCCCACCATATTAGTCAGTCACATATTCTTCGAAAGTAAAGCAATGCGTGCTGGTTTTGAGTATGGCAACTAAGCCATGTCGTAGTTAATACTAATTTATGATGTGTCTGTTATAGGGTTAGTGAATGAATTTCTGCAAGCAAAATTCGAAATCACTGACCAAAGTTTGAACAAAGTTCTAATATATATTGACTAGTAGTGTCTAAATGATGCTCAGCAGCAGGATTATAGTCGAGTTCGGTACTAATACTACTTTGATGATAGATTTGATCACAAAACGGTAAATTTATCATGTGATTGCCCAATCTGTAAGGGCTTACGTGGAAGTCACATCCGTGTCTACACTGACTCATCGTTTCGTGACAATTAACAATGATACTTCGTTCTTCTGAGGAACACATTTGTGCTGGGATAGAATAGTATATTTAGTGTGGATAGTGATAAGTTACACATAACGAGTACGTCTGCTATGCTGAGCCGTGCCATCCGATTGAATGAATGACACTACAAGTATCCATTGAAATTTACTATCATAGTTCAGAAACTCATATCAACAATGCAATATTTTGACGAAACTTTTAAATGCTCTCAGTATTACGAGATTTCATAACGAAACGAGTACTTATGAAGCAAACAGTTATTAATTATTCTCCCAAAACGTTACCCGTCATGATCATCAGTATATTTCTCCATGATACTACAAACAAGACGAAAATAAAAGTAGGGCAAACGTTTATTGATGCACCATAACTACTGGTACAAGAAGAGGAATATTTGACGCGGAGAAATGTGTTTACATGTTAGATACATATTTCAGCTAAAAATACTACTACAAAGTACTTCTTTTAGTAAACAGTTCCTATCACGCCTCCGCACTCTGTTGTTTTCCGCTGTATATTTTCCATCGTATAGAATAGTACACAAAGACTGGCGTTAGAGGACCTACAGTCTTACTTACTTCTTAAAAAAATTGGATTAGTTGAACCTGTACATATTGTTTGGTCCTTCTGGGTAGTGAAATCATTATTTTTACGTTAGATAGGAGTGTTATCTATCTTTCTTCGCTTACAATGTGGAAGAATATAATGAAATAAATAGTTTATATTTTGTAATTCATCTAGCTAACCTGTAAGAGCTTCACTTCTTATGTGCGTCAGTAGCATATCGATCTCCCAAGCTTGAAGAAATTTTGAGGGCAAGGATACCGGTTTTTTGTCACAATCTAACCATGATCCTGATTAAGTCTGCTCACTATTCTTTCTGCTTCCAAGCAAACAGATGAGGGCGCACTAGAACAAATTAATACCCAAAGTTCACCCAAACTAGATAGACGTTTTCTCAAAATATGAAGACTGGCAAGTTACGAAGCAACAATCAATATAACGTGTGCACTACAAGACAGAGAGAGCCTAATCAATGTTCTTCGTAATGATTTTGTGGTTTTGCTTTAGCGAAAGATCACTTAAATATGTAAACACGTGATAGTCCTGCAACACCACAGGCGCTCAACAAACACACAGTAACTGAAATACGGAATTGCCGCTCTTGTCAGGCCTTCGAGGCCGTTGAAATGGAACGGACGATAGCATTGAGGAGATTCGACTTTTTCATCGAGCCGTTATATGTGCATCATGCTAACTATTAACACGGAAGAATAATGATAAACTATATGGTGACTAAGTAATGTTGTATCTATCAAGCAACTCCATATCAGGTGATTAATATTGTGAGTATTAGGATTAGTTCTGTTGTAGTTATTATCGATAAGAAGTCACTGGATGGGTGTCATCAGATCAGGCTTGTCGTTTCGGCTAGTTTAGTGGTGGACTGAAATTAACATTTATTGGTTCAGTTTTATGTATCACGATAAATGAATTTATTGATATATGAATTCGACATTTCTCAACGATGTACGTATCGATACTCAACTGATTTCATTGCAAAAGATATGAGACGTTTTGAAAGAGATTTTCGATTATTTCAAAGCTCTTTAGGTCCATATTTCTGTGTTAACCTCGTTACCATCACAACGCATTTATTAACCAAAGTTGGCTAAACACAAATAGGTCATTATTGTTAATTGATGTGACGTTTTACACGTACGTCACATACACATACTCTTAGGTACCAATTAGCATTCATGACTTTACCGGTCTGGTTTAAATAACTTATACAAGTAGACTGTTTATAAAGTATCAAAAAGAACATTCACAACGATGTCCATTATTTAGGTGATATGTTTAAGTTCAGTTAACTGAATCAAACAAGTGAATAATTCAGAATAAACTAAACTTGTGTTTTTAGTCAGCTGTAATTGTTACAGTCTGAAGTATTTAAATGATATCGAACAAATAAGGTACACATACTCACCCAATGAGGTAATATTTGAGTAACAAATCGTTGTTCATACGCATTGATAATACAATTACTGGCAGTTTCTAAAAACGTTGACCGCCGATTCAATAAATAGAAGTATTCTGAAACACTTTGAATCAAATCATGATTCTTTATAAAATCTAATTCGGTGGATGATAGCACGCCAAGTCAGATGCAAAACAATAACTTCAATGAATAATCAATACGTTTTTAAAAATCTTCACTAATCCATTGAATGACTACTTGTAATACATTCTTTTCATGTTTACATTTAAAGTATTTTCATGAAGAGTTTGACGAATGTAGTTTACACTTGACTTTTTGAAATTCGGTGTGTACCACATTTTTCGAAATTTTCTAAAATCGTTTCGTGTGCTTTGGAGCCTCGTTCAAGCCAATAAGATGATTTTAAAAGACGCTTAACAAAAGCTCTGTTCAAATATTTCTACAGCAATTATGTTACGTGTTTCACCAGATTCCATAAAATCTACAGTATGAACGTAAAAAAGTCTAAATATTTATCTATTGGCTGGATATTTATATCATGAAGTCGTGCACTATGGATTGGCTTGTACGAACAACGTCGTTTAGAGGCATTGAATTTAAATGATCGTGAACGCTCTCAATTTCCAGATTTTTTCTAAGTGCATCATGAACGACCTTTAACTCTGGATCAACAATGCAATACTTTAAGCAAAATAAAATGTTTTCAACTATGAAAAACCAACAAAATAACTCGACCATGGAATAGAAACGACTGGTGTTATGTAAGGATAGATAAAGTTCTGTGAATTTATTGTAATTTAAAGATATTTCTGTCTAGTCTGGTAGGATAATTGAGAAAGGATATGATTTGCAATACTCCTGGTTCATTTATGTCTAAC